CGCTAGATTGTACTACAACACTGTTGGAACTATCCTAATAAGATTACCTACAGAGTACAGAATCAACGCAAACTGCTTGCTTCTTACTACTACAACCTCAACCTGTAATAGGCAGGTAACTGCATATGTACCGCGGGAGATTGCTGAGTTAAAGGACGGTACGGTAGAGGATTAGAATGACAGGGGATCGAGGTGCCTGCTGCTTGTAATTAAGCTTCTTTTTGTTCAGCACATCATCAGCGCTGCACATGCATGCCACCCGTCCACTTCATCATCAGATAATAATCCGAGAGATGCAGAAATGGCGGATGGAGAGAGGCAGCAGAGCAATGCATTGCCAGAACAGCAGCACGCTGCCCCTACCCAACATACACCCCACCAAGGCACTAGAATATATATGTTTGCTTGCTGTTGTCGTTTCTCCCTCTGGCCTTGCTACCCTGAACTGAATACATATAATTCCGGAATGAATTGAATCTTGCTACCCTGAACTGAATACATATAATTCCGGAATGAATTGAATCCACCCGGGCCTGAATCTGATCACATGCATATATGACTATACATCGTCTGATCCTGGCCTCTTGGGTTAGTTGGGTTCGATTTCGTTGGAATTGGAACAGGGGACTAGGGATAACTAAGGCCCCATTCGCGTGTCCTTAAACCCGGCTTGATCTGCTTCTTTTTTCATCCGAAACAGTATTTTCCTCTCACAAATTCTTTCAAACCATTTAAATTCCTCAAGAACCACACCATCCAAACGGGGTCATTCATTCTCAGCCAGCCGGCCGGGGAGATGGACAGCGGGAGGTAATGATTTTATTAAAGAGCTGGGTGAATGCTAGCTCCGCCCCACTGTGTTTGTCTCTCTGCCTTCCACTCTGGTCTCTGGATCAGATCAGGCAAAATCACATTGACGACAAGTCACCAGCAAGGCTGTGTCTAATCCACAGAATAAGAATATTTCAAGTAAATCTATCTATCTATCTATCTATTCTTGGCGGGCAGCTGCACTGCACTGCATGGTACGTAACGTACAGAGGAGGCAGGCACTCCGATCCCGCGGTTCGCGGTCGTCCTCCGGTTGAACACACGCCGTGCCAGGCTGCCCGGCCCTAGCTAGCTTGTCCACGGCCGTACGTGCCGGACCCTTCCTTCCCTTGGCAACACGGATCGGCCGGACCCACGGGACGCGCGCGCGCGATAGACGATGGCCGTGGCCACGGTCCGGCGGCGGCGTTGCTTCCTCCTCGTGCTGGGAACGGCCATTGCCATTGCCGCCTCGTTATTCGGCGCGGCGTCCGGCGCCGCGCTGGTGGGCGATTCGTGCAAGGCGTCGTCCACCTCGGACGGCGGCGGCTGCGGCAAGGGGCTGCGCTGCACCACCTGCGTGCCACCGCCGGGGACGGGACCCGCCGCGTGCGCGCGGACCACGCCCATCGACCCCAAGACGCACGTACGTTGTTGTTACTGTTGTCCTGTCGTCTCGTCGATCGTTTCTTGCATTGTCGTGTATGCATATATATCATCCATGCACCGTGCATGCAGGGCACGGGTCTCCCCTTCAACAGGTACTCGTGGCTGACGACGCACAACTCGTTCGCGGTGGTGGGCACCAAGTCGCCGCTGGGGTCCGCCATCATCTCGCCGCCCAACCAGGAGGACTCGGTGAGCGAGCAGCTCAAGAACGGCGTGCGGGGCCTCATGCTGGACGCCTACGACTTCAACGACGCCGTCTGGTTCTGCCACTCCTTCCACGGGCGGTGCCTGCCATTCACCGCCTACGTGCCCGCGCTGAGCGTCCTCACGGAGGTCCGGGTGTTCCTCGAGGCCAACCCGTCCGAGGTGGTCACCGTGTTTCTGGAGGACTACGCCGCGCCGGGGTCCCTCAGCAACGCCTTCAACGCCGCCGGACTGTCCAAGTACTGGTTCCCCGAGTCCCTGATGCCCAGCCCCAGCAAGGGCGGCGGTGGTGACTGGCCGCTGCTCAAGGACATGATCGCCGACAACCACCGACTCATCGTGTTCACGTCCAGGAAAGGGAAGCAGGGGACGGAGGGCCTCGCGTACGAGTGGGACTACGTCGTGGAAACCCAATGTACGTATAACGTATATCAGTCGTCGTCGTCGTCTTGTTTAGATTTGGGAATCAATTGTTGGGACTCCATCTCCAACAAGCAGATGGGAGCGAGGGCATGTCGGATGGCGGGTGCCCGAAGCGGTCCGAGTCTCGGCCCATGGATTCCAAGGCCCAGTCGCTGGTGCTGCTCAACTTCTTCACCAGCAACCCGAGCCAGAGCTGGGCCTGCAGCAACAACTCCGCGCCGCTCATCAGCAGGCTCAACGCCTGCTACCAGGCATCCGGCAACCGATGGCCCAACTACATCGCCGTCGATTTCTACATGGTACTGTATGTTGATTGGTATATGTATATGTATATGTATACATTGACCACGAGTAACGGCGTGCCTGAATGATATGATGAAATGCACAGAGGAGCAACGGCGGCGGCGCTCCCCTGGCCACCGACGTCGCCAACGGCCGCCTCCAGTGTGGCCGCGACAGCATCACCTACTGCAAGCCGTCTTCTGCTCCGGCACCCGCATCGGCTTCTTCACCGTCTCCTGCCCCCGCCGCTTCTCCGTCGTCTCCTGGGCCGGCACCTGGGCCTGCTAATAGCTACTACTCTACTACTGGTTAAGAGGTGGCCTCAGGTTGGACCTGGCCTGAAAATATCCATGAGAGAGGCCTATCTAGTGCTCACTGCTCACTGATGAATATTCTTAGATCCAGGATCAAATTAATTTCATTGAAAAACAAATAGCATTGTCAAGGTTTTTTTTTTGTGTACATATGTAAGCGTGATGGCACACCAAGCATATATAAGGGAGGTTTGCCATAAGAGTGATGGTGCAGAGCTTAATTTAATATATTGCCCTCCATTATCTATCTCTTCCTGTGATGTTCCAGGGGCGGCTTAATATAATGTCCCATCGAGTGCACGTCTGCATTGTCTATACTTAAGCTTTGAAAATAAGCCATATGCACGTACGCAAGCTTTCAAAATAAATTCAAGCAGTTCATCTTTCAGACACTGACAGCCTGTTCGGAAGGCCGTAAACGATCGTGGATTATTTACTGCTTGGTTTTGTGTGAGAGAAAAACACTGTTCCTGGCTGGAAATTTACGATCGTTTACGAGCAATATAATTAATAATGGATATATGCAGTTGGAACAACATGCATTGCCATGCTCTGGTCTCTGGTCTGCGGTCTGCGAGATACAACACACAGTAGGATGTATATATAACATGCAAGAGTAACATTCGGTCAATCTATTCGAATTCAAATTCAAATGCATGGGTACACACGTGACCTGACGTGACGTTACGTTGTGCTGCGGCTAGGGTTTTGATTTCTTCCGGATCGGAAGAGCTGATGAGGTGCTGACGTGCCGTGGTTAGCGTAGTACCTAGGAGTATTTCATTCGCACCTCATATCCAAGGGCTCGAGATTTCAGTTTCGTCTTTTTTCAGTCCTACCGATCGTAGCTCTTATGTATGTTAAGATTGTACTCGTGCATTGCAATGGGAATAAAATAGTGTCTCGGACATCCTCCACTTCTCTTTATTCTTCTCATAGTACAAGATATGCCAGCATTCGTGCTAGTAATTTTTGAAGCTTTTCTTGTCTGTTTATACAAAAAAAGGTAAGGCATTTGTATAAATAGGTTATGCATTTTCTTGACTAATTATAGCTTAAATATTGCAATTTATGATGTCTTTAGACGTAGTAATCAGGGGAGAAGTTCGGAGTTATTCATTTATGCAGCAACATTTGTCACACAGCTGAGCAGTAAAAATATAAGAACCAATTAACCAACAAATCAAATAAAAAATTACTTGAGAAAATCTAGTAGACCGCTCTCGTCGTCGAAGGTGACAGTGATATGGTGACAGTATATGTACCATCCCTAGTTGATGTAGCATATGCATAGCTTTGTCGGTCCACGAGCTAGCTAGCCGAGAAACGCGCTGTATGCACATGCCTGGATGATATGCATGCACCAAGTAAAGTTTCCAACAAGCATATACATTTGCGCTAGACAGATAGTGGCCATTTTACTATGGTTACTCTCCTCTGTTTGGCACTCCACCCCTTTATGGTGTTGCATACTTTATTTACCGCAATGCAGGGACCATGTATGCATGAGAGGGAAAGAGACACAATTATAAAGCAATAGTTTTTTTTAATACACAATCGAGACTTTTGGCTCTATATAATACCACATATTGAGTTATTAACTAGATAAACTGGCCAATGCAAGCTCATCAAAATGCTAAGTTGATAAAAAAAGTAGGCAATCCATTTACACCTCAGCATACTTGAGTTGTCGCAACAACCACATCGATGCTTTAGTCTTCTCTTGGAGATGCTCTTATCCACGAAAAGTAAGCAACCTAAGGCATGCATGAGTATGTATATGTACCATCCCTCCATCTCAAAATATAAGGGTTTACGATATTTTTAAGACAGATTAAGAATGGAACTCAACTACTTGATCACCAAGGTTGTGGCGTGACACAGTTAATGCCGGTCGATTTAATTACTTCTGGTTTAGAAAAGAATACAATGTAATTTTAGGTATAAATCTGAACAAACACTTGCCCAGCTTATAATTATACCTTTTTTTTACGAAGGGAGTATTTAGTGAAAACCATGGCTCAGTCTTCGATCAAGCATGAAGTTTAAGATGACATATTTAATACACATGGTTATTTAGCCAATAGTTGCCCGTCAAACAAACATCAAGATCAAGGACCAAATTTAAACGCCCAAAGTCTTTATATTTTGAAACGGTGCAACTAACTAGGAGGCAAAAAGAAAAATCTAGCAGTGGTCTGGTGGTCGGCATGAGCTGGCTATAAAAAAGGAGCTGCTCGACGCGAGGAAGGCACACTCTTGGAGTAGCAGCATAGCCTAGCCTAGTAGTAGAAGACGATGGCGGCAAGAAGGGTGTGTAGTGCGGTCCTGGCCATTGGCCTGCTGCTGGCCGCCGCCGTCGCCGCAGTGCCGCCTCATCTTCAGCTGGTGACTGACACTGACGGTGGTTTGTCGCTGGACTTCCACGCGGCGTCGTGCCCGCAGCTGGAGGGCATCGTGCGCGCCGCCGTGCAGGCCGAGCGAGGCCAGGACGTCCAAGTCACGGCCGGCCTCCTCCGCATCTTCTTCCATGACTGCCTCCCCCAGGTTCATACATACCCCTCTTCATATAGCTTCCGTTATACAAACTTACAAAGGAAAAACGCTTCTGTATATGCATGTATGTAACGAATACAAATAAAACTAGGGGTGCGACGCTTCCATCCTTCTGGACGGCGAGAAGTCCTTTGGTCCCAACGCTTCGCTACAGCCACGGGCGCTGCAGCTCATCGAGAGCATCCGCGCCAAGGTGCACGCCGTGTGCGGCGCCACCGTCTCCTGCGCCGACATCATCGCGCTCGCCACCCGCGACGCCGTCAGCCTGGCCGGAGGTCCGTCCATCGCGATGCCCCAGGGCCGCACCGACAGCCTCAGGCCGGCCACGAACGCCGAGGTAAACACCCTCCCGTCGCCCTTCTCCGACGTGAGCACGCTCCTCGGCACCTTCAGCCGCAGGGGGCTCGCCGACCCCGCCGACCTCGTCGCGCTCTCCGGCGGCCACACCGTGGGGAAGGCCAGCTGCAGCTTCATCAGAGGGAACGACGACTTCTCCCGGAGGCTCGCCGCCAACTGCTCCGCCGGCCGCACCGGGAAGCAGAGCCTGGACGTGATCACGCCCGACGCCTTCGACAACAGGTACTTCGTCGCGCTGAGGAGCACCCAGGGGGTGCTGCTCTCCGACCAGGGCCTCGCCGGCGACCAGCGCACGGCCCGCTTCGTCGCCGCCTTCGCCAGCAACCAGGGCGCCTTCTTCGACCAGTTCGCCAAGTCCATGGTCAAGCTGGGCAGCATCAAGGCAGCCGCCGCCGGCGAGATACGCCGCAACTGCTTCAGGCCCAACGGCCGCGTCAGCCTCGACGACGTCAGCGCTCTCATCGGCGACGATGCCGCCGCTGTCGCTAGCGACGAGGGCTTTGCAGCCTCCGCTTGATGATAAGACATCATGCATGATCTCGCATGCATGCTACTATGTACGTGTAACGCGTTAATTGATTATGGATCGCACCTATACACCTTAGTAGGTGTACGTACTACGTTCTTATTTCATGCTAAGTTTGCTTTGAGTGAGCCATCAGTGAGGTAGGAGGTAGGTAGCTTGAATCGATCGATGGATGGACGAGATCGGTAGTGTAATAATGCCCTGCCAGTACGTGCATTGTTAGCACGCGGCAGGTTGTAGTATGTACTCCAATATGCATATGTGTTTTTATTAACGCTAGTAGTTTGATGAATCATCATGTGAGAAATGCATGCCCATCAGCCAGACCAGATATGCATCACGTTATTATAAGCTTGTCCCTCGTTCGAGTGTTTTTCTTTTCTTTGTTTGTTTATTACTAGATAGAGTAGAGAGGTGTGTGGCGGCTTTAATCAGCTAATTAATTTGGCCCCTAAAACGGAACATTACAAACGCTGTACCCGTGCTAGCTAGCTAGCCTGTTATTGCACTCAGAAACAAGCGTTAAGTACGAAAAGAACTCCGATCCATATCCACAAACAGATCGAGAGTAAAGAAATGAGTTTGTGGCGGGACCAGAACGTGTAACCAGCAGCAAGCAGCCCAAATGGCGTCAGTTTTTTAAGCTAATAAAGGTAAGCTTATCACTAACGGCATCATTTCATTTTGATCAGCTCGCATATATAACTATTCATAAGAAATTAAATGTGAAAAGCGACTCGAGCAACAACGCCCGCAATGGCACGTTTTTTTTTTTTTGAAACTAAGAAGTTGAAACGCTAGCTGATGAGAGCGAGGGAGGGTCAATGAATTGCATTGGCCAGAGACAACATCAAGTGCCTACGTGCGCGATGCATAGGAAAATGAAAACCTTACCAGCAATAACATACGCAACAAGTGGCAAGCAGTTTCGTATACTAGACTACACTGCACAATATAATGGAGCACATGCAGTGAATTTGTTAATTATTATCCGGGCAGTGGGCAGTGGGCAGTGGCAGACATCATATATATCGAGGTTGGCTTGGGCACTGGGGCTCATGCATGCACCCGGACCCGGCCTCCTCCGGTCGTGCTGCAGCTTGTCGACCGCACGCCGGCGTCTGTATTTTAATTTTAGGCCCTCGCAGACTTCTCCAACGCTTTGGTTTAGGGCACGTTTGGTTCACATCTTCTAATAAAGTTTTGTCACCTAAACCAGCTTCTAAAGTTTAGTCATCTTTGTTTGATTTGGTGGACTAAAAAAGACTAAAAAAGGCCTTTTAGTCTCTTTTAATCAGGGTGTTTGATCCAAAGTGACTAAAAGGTGATGCAGCCTGACTAAAAAGTGGGCTTTAGTCCCATTTAGCAACACTTGGGTGACTAGTTGACTAATGCATTTTTTAGTCTCATTTAGTCGTAGTGTTTGGATAAAAGTGACTAAATAGGGCTAAATGTGATTAGCTAGATTTAAAAGTCGAGGAGTGAACCAAACACCCTCTTAGTTCTGATTTCTTGACAAACTCCATGTTCATGAAACGACTCTGTAAGTGAAGTTACATAGAGAAGAAATCGTTCTTTTTATAAACACTAGCCAACGTGCCTGTGCGTTGCAACAGGAGATATAATTTGTTGCCTAGTTTATCTAGATTATTTGGAGCTCAAAAATTTATCCAACAAACATGTGGTGCTTAGTCCTCTAAATCGTATATATGAGACGCTTTGACATTTATCTATTGATCGTCTGTGTATTTCAATTTGTCTTGAGATCGGACTCTAAGTAGTGTTTGAGACTACATCATAGGTTTAGATTCACGTTTGACTCAAACTTTGTACCGTACATGTATGTACACTGCTCTAACTCGTTATGTTGTGTTTAGTCTTTATGTTTCTTTTTTTTTGTTGCGTGTTTTCTTTTTTCTTCTTTTTTTCTTTTCCCGTTCCTGTACTCTTGTGTTCAGACCGAGTTCTTAATCATTTCGGCTTCTTAGAAATCTCTTCAATAAAATCCTCATGTGTTCCAACTCGTCTTGAACTCCTCACACGGAGTTAGAAATCTCTTCAATAAAAACCATACCATTGCTAGATGTGTACTGCTCTAACTCCTCATACGGACATTGGAAACATGGACACTCATGTGATCTTTGCATCGGGTGTTTGGATTCATCTTGGGATCGTACTCTGTGGATCGCATCATGCATTTCAGCTCGTTTGGGGATCAGACTTCCCACCGTGTTTGACACGTTGCCCCAACTCATAAACGAGAAAGTGATAGGAAAACACAATATATGGCGTCGGATGCACGATGCGGGATAAGGGGGGGGGGGCGCTAAAACAATGGAGATGTTGATTTGCATGAAGATTTAATGGTGAAATCAAGCTTTTGCTACAGTGATTAGTGGTGAAATCAAGCCATTAGGGGGGCTAGAGCCCCCCCACCCCTTTGGATCCGCCCCTACGTCGCCACTGATGTCGGTCGCCTCCGTTGCCTACGGTTCTCCGACTTTGCTCACCGCAGCTCTTGTGATGCCACCATGCATGCATACGGCATTTGCATTGCCGCTAATCTTCTCCAACATGCTACACCACGGGGCTGGGGCTTTTATGGTTGGCCAACTTGGTAGTGGAAATCTTTATTTTATATAGGCAAGGAGCAAGGGCTCAAACATACATGATTATTGATTTAGGCCTTTTGTTTTTGAAATTTATAGAAGGAACAGACACAAAAAAGACCTAGTGCACAGATGAATGGGTGACATGCGGACGCTCCACTCGAACAGACTTAGAAAATGCACGGGAAATGCTTGCACCGACAGTCGGATGGAACACGCTTGGGTGGACGGAAAAAAAATACACTCAAACGGATGAGAAAAAAGAAAAAGAAATAAAGAAATTAAACCAAAACCAAAAATCTTTCCGTGATTTAATATTACAATTCAAATGTACATAGAGCCAAAATTTCTTCCCCTTGTTTTTATGGTTTGGCCTCCCTGACTAACTTTATGAATGTAAAATTTGTCTCTATTATAAGCATGGATATATAGGAATCCTAATTAAATAGATCTCTCCTATTCTAAGCAAGTTGAATATAGAAACAACCCTAATCGAAATAGAAAAGGAATTAACTGGATCCTCTCATAACTTTTCTTACCTTTTTTTTCTTTTTGTTTTCCTTTTTGTTTTTGTTTTCTGTTTTCTTTTCCTTTTTCTTTTTTTCTTTTTGGGTTTTCGTTCGCATCTCCATCATTTTGATTTTGGTTCCTTCTCCTTTACGTTTTTCTCCGTTTTTCTTCGCTCTGTTGGTTTGGTTTTCCGTTCTATTTTCTTTTTTGTTTTCTGTTTGCCTTATCATTTGTTTCCCATTCTGTCCCCTACGCGCGTGCGGTCGGTTTCTTGTTAGTTTATGTTTTTCCGTCTCCTCTCCCGTTCTAATTTCTTGAAATCTACTCGGATTACGATTTGTAGCTATTCAGTTACCTAAAAACATATGTCCATATGTTATATATACAATATAAGAGTTGTCGAGAGATGAATCATAATAGTTTTCACATTCACGGAGTTAGTCGGGAAGAGGTGGATGAAAAAAATGGGCTGAAATTTTGTATCTTTATTATTAGGTATAGATATAGATGATGAGTGATGAAGCCATCTAGAACATGACTTTTTTTACTCTCACGGGGTGGGGGAGTTTTTCCCACATGGAATTTTATTTGGCCCTCGTGGCCTCACATAATGTTTACATTTTGAGAAAAATAGAGTTTACATGCCACTCTTGGGCTAGCTTAGCTTCCTAGCGCATCATGGAAGATCGTGCACCATCGATCCGCTACACACTTCTTCTCGGCAGTTTGGCTCTCCATTGCTCCGCTTCTCTCCTACTGAGCAAACATCAGCTATTTTTAATGTCACTGGGGATTACTCCCCACCTGAATGTATATTGACAAATCGGCTCATTTTATATTTTACAATGTTGAGGAGGAAAAACAACAACAACAAGACGCCCCAGCACCAGGGCGAAGAGTGGTAGAAACCACAAATATAATAGCAAAATGCAAAGACTACCACAATAAGGCAGATGAGCTCTTCGATGATGCCTCCAAGGAGGTGGAATGGCAACAAAACGTAATCATGGTTGGCCAAGCTTGGCAAGGTTTTTACCCGAGCCTTGTGCCAGTGGTAGTTGCACTGTGGGGGGCTGTCACACCGCGACGGAGCCGTTTGCGAACTCGCTCATAGCGGTGGGAGGCGCCATAGCAACAAGCGTCCCGCGCTGGAGCCGGGGGGGGCAGCCGCCACCACACCGCGCGGAGCCGTTCATGGACTCACCCACGATGGTGGGAGGCACTCACCGGCAAGCGTCCATGCCTAGACGGAGAGGGGAGGGTGCCAGCCATCACCACACTGCTCGGAGCTATTCCCGGACTCGCCTGCGTTGGTGGGAGGCACGCACCGGCAAGCGTCCACGCCTGGACAGGGGAATGAAGGGGGGTGCCGGCCGCTGCCACACCTCGCGGAGCCATTCCTGGACTCGCCCGCGATGGTGGAAGGCGCGCACCGGCAAGCGCCCGTGCCTAGACAGAGGGACTTGCTTACACACTTCACACAGCGTCGTTGGCACGATGTTCTTTCGCTGCAGATTGGTTCGGCATTTGTATCCGTCCTTGAGTCAGCAGCCACATAAACATTTGGACCCTCGGTGGCGCGGAGTTTTTTCAAATCAACACAGATCCTTCGTTGGTTCCCTGAATGCAGATCTAGAACATGACTTCTTCAACTTCTCTGACTCCTTAGATGAAGTAGTTTGCGAAGAAAAACCCTACCAAACAGGGGTCCTAATCTTCTTCATTTACATATATAGCTTTGTTACTTTAGCCATTCAAGTGCAACTGTGGTTTAAACTTGTTTAGTCCTTGTTTGGATGCATGTGTATTTACTTCAATCCACGTGTGTTGGAGTAGAATGGAATAGAACTTAATTTAATTCCACTCCAATCCACTTCAACACATGTGGATTGAGATAAATACATGCGTATCCAAACAAGGCCTTAAGGTATACCACCTAGGTCCTCATTATCAACGAGGGTGCTTTAATTTGTAACGCAGTTTTCAAGAGTATATTATATCAAAAGGGAGTATAGCTGAGAATTTTTATTTTAAAAAAATATTTTAAATTTCAAGAATTTAAAACGAACATTTGGGCCTCTAAACTCCTCGCCTCTCGTGGCACTCCTAAGTGTAATTACTACTTTGTTTAATCTCGATGGTTTCTCTACTGACTGCCTCATTGACAAGCATCGTCTCTTTCAGTGGCCGGCGCCTTTGTTAGCCGCCGCTCTGTTCCTGAACAAGTTTTGGGTAACGACAAAAGAAAAGGCTGGGAATCTGTACCCCCTCGAATTGCTCGGAGGAAAAAA